GCTAAATCATCCCAAATTTTTTTGCATACGTTTCAGGCCATATGGAGCATTTGATAAAAAAATTACGCACACGCGCATGCGCGCGCGTTTTCGTGCGTACTGGCATTTTGCAACACAGAATCGCCGATTTTTTTCTGACATCATATTTGGTACATTTTTCCAAGCATTTTGATAATTTGTTCACCTTTTAATAACGCAATGAGCGTCCGTCAAAGTTGACAGCACGCGCGGATTTGCGTTATCTTTATCCACAATACATGGGCAAAAACATGCCTATATAAAATTCATTGTAACTCTTTAGAATAGATAGAAACTCCTAATATTTTTTCATATTTGGATAGATTATGAGTCGGAGATATGATTTCATGTCTCATTTTATCCTCAATTAACTCATGACGTCATCATAATGGCCTCCAAACTCAAAATTTTAATTTGCATATTATGACGTCAGCATATTTTTGGAAAATTGATTGTATCTCTGTAAATATGGATCAATTTTCTTTTTAATTTTGATATGTTCTAGCTGAGACAATTTTCTACAAATGTAGTATTCACAATTTTTATTTTTGACAAAAATATCATGGTGTATTTTTGCGATTAAAGGAGGTATGTCAATTTTTCGCATTTTGCGTGTATTCTCTATGGGACATGACTTTTTCTAAAAACTGGATTCTACACTCCTGTCTTTCGCGAGCAAAATCTCCGTTGTTTTATCTTCGTTTTCGCTGAGCTTCGAATATGTTGTAGCTGAGACAATGAGCTATCAAAATTGTGCCCTTTATTTTTCGATTAGATGCCGGGATCATGCTCATATTTTACTTGCAAAGTAGGATTTCTGAATTCCATTTCCCGTTTACGTGTAATCGCTATGGGAGATGTTTTGGTATATCGGTAACGCAGTACACTTCCAACCTCGAGATCCCTGGTTCGAGTCCGGGTGTCTCCAACACTTTTTTTCACTTTTTTTTTCCTTCTGACCTTCACTGTATCATCTCCTTTGATTATTTAAACACGTAGATTCGCAAATATCGTCATAAATAACCCTTTTTACTTTATTATTACCCTATTTTCACTTAATCCATTACTTTTTGCGTGTAATCCCTATAGGAGATGACTTTTTCTTAAAATCTGGAGTCTACATTCCTGTCTTTTGCGAGCAATATCGCCGTTATTTCGGCTTGGATTTTGTTGATTTTTGAGTGTGTTGTAGCTGAGACTATATGCTATCTAAATCAACCCTCATTTTTTCAATAAGATGTCATGATCGCGCTCATGATCATGATCTTTATCATCATGATCATCATTATCATAATGATGATAATCATTTATCAATTACATTTTCATTTCTTTGAATAAGATAAAATCGTCAAAAGGTGTTCTTCATGATGTAAATTAGAGTCAAATGTGTAACTAGTTACTGCACAGGGTCAACGGTCATATATTGTTTCAATCTATCTTCCCTAGATCCATGATGATCAAGGAGACACAATTTAATCTTTACATATGAATAGATCATAATGGGAGAAGCATATAAATGGGAGAAGCATTTTACAAAATAATATATCGTGTAATGCATTATTCGTTATGTAAACCATTATCATACGTATCACCTAATTCGTCTAAGTGACGAATTAAAGTCTAGTTTGTATTCAACTTCTTTTCATGAAATAAATTGTGACACTATGATTTATTCTTGTCAAATGAAGTTTATATCTTTTGATTGTGTTGTATTTTTACCAGATTGTGGAAATAAACTTGAATTGAATTGAATTGAAGATCCTGTCTATTTTTCGGGTAGATGAAGGAATTTAATCAATTGAATTCCATTAGAGCAGAAAGAGAAGCCAATGAGTATCTTTTATATGCATACTTTGACCCAGAATGTTATTTCTAAAAATGCAACGCGTGAGAAAACGAACCCATGGCTGATTCGTTTTTGTTATACATTTATGGTGATGGTATAGGGGAGCTTGTAAGATACGTCACAGATTTGCCAATTTGTGTTTGATTGATTGCACCTCAAACAAAATCATAACTTTCTTATTTTTAATCGGTTTTAGCTCAAACTTTCACTAACCTTTTCTCTTTCATTTTCTGCTTAAATCAAAAGCACATATTTTTTTTATATTTTTTGGTCCATGATCTCAAATTTCGCAACGACTCAGCCAGCCGCTGAATAAGCGGGGGGGGGGGGGGGGGGGGGGGTAAGAGCATATTTGTTTTTCTCCCGAACTTTGAAAAATTGGCCGATCGATATTTCGTTTTGTTAAAATAGATATTCATTGATTTTAAAAAGTAACTTTATTTTCATTATTGCAAAGTTGAAGCTTTGATTCGACAAGGTTATCAAAATTAATAAGCTAATAATTATTATAAATTACAAAACGCTTAAATACAGCCCCGGCATAGCACCTGAAGAGCTCTCCGAACGCTGCTGAGATGTGTGAGATCCCCGTATGGTATCTAGAACGAATAGATCAAACATATATACTGTTACATACATTCACTTCACAAAGCTTTCAATTTGAACATAAGGCATCAGTACATTGACCCAGATTTGTGTAGGGCAGATACAGTATATTCACTTTCAAGGTCAGTTTTACAAGAATCCCATTGTATCATCTTGGAAACGAACAATAGGCAGGGGCGTCGCCAAAGGGGGGGGGGGGTGTGTGGGGGTGCGACACCCCCCCCCCCCACCTGTCAGGATATTTTCGGTAAAATTGCGCTGCTGTCGGGGAAAAAGAGAAAAGGGGGAAGGGAAAAAAGAGAGGAAAAGGGAAAGAAAAGCAAAAAGAAAAGGAAAAGAGAAGAAAGAAAGGAAAAGAAAGGAAAGAGGAAGGGGAGGAAAGAAAGGAAAAGAAAGAAAAGGGAAAAAAGAAGAAAAAAGAGTAAAAGGGAAACAAAAGAAACGGGGGTTAATTAAGAGAGGAGAGAGAGGAGAGGTAAGAGTCTGAGAGAGGAGGAGTGGGAGTAAAAGAGAGAAGGGGGTTGTTGGGTGGAGTCGTCTCGTCGAGGGAGCAAGAAAGACACGGGTAAATATGTTGCTATGTCGGGTCAGCTGTGTCGGTATTCGTGCTCGATCCTCGTGTACTATTTTAATGCAAAAGTTTGTAGTCGGTAACATGTATATTGTCGGTCGGCAGACAATTTTTTTTTCCCAGGAACTGTGCCTTTTTATCCGCTGTAACAATTTCGAGAGTGCTACAACTACAATACTTGTGCTTTCTCGAAGTTTCACTTTCCTATAATATCAGCTAAAGAAGTCAGAGGTTTAAAATTTTCGGGGAAACTAAATTCAAACAAGGTTTAAGACTCAACAATGGTACGACGATCGTCTTCCTTTCTCTAATTGTGATGAAACGCCCCAAAAAACAATTCGCGCTTTACGCGGATGGGGAAAACTTCATTTAGACGAATCGAGACAACGAATCGTCTTCTTTCTCTAATATTTTAAGGAAACGTCAAAGCTTCCGCGCTTCGCGCTAAAGGGGGAAACTGAATTCAGATAATAATAAGGGCTTATTAAGATTCGAAAACGGTACAACGAATCGTCTTCTTTCTCTAATAACTAAATGAAACGTCAAAACTTCCGCGCTTCGCGCGGGAGGGGATGCATTATTCAGACAATGATTTAAGAGTCGAGCACGGTTCAACGAATCGTCTACTTTCTCTTATAATTTAAGGAAACGTCAAAACCTCCGCGCTTCGCGCGGAAGGGGGAACAACTGAATTCAGATATGAATTAAGAGTAAAAAACAGTACCCTAAATAGGGCTTATTAAGAGTCTTCTTACATGAAACGCCAAGGATTTAGAGTCGAGCACGGTTCAACGAATCGTCTACTTTCTCTATATGAAACGCCAAAACTGGAGGAGAAACTGAATTCAGACAAGGATTAACAGTAGAGAACTGTACAGCAAATCGTCTTCTTTTCAAAATAATTTAATGAAACGTCAAAGCTTTCGCGCCTTCGCGCGGGAGGGGGGGGAAACTTCATTTAGACAAGGATTAACAGTCGGGAAAGGTACAATAAATCGTTTTCTTTTCCTAATAATTTAGAGGCCTATCACCCACACCCCCTAATGAGCGCTCTTTAAGTGATTCGCTTGCTCACTACCGCCCTCCCTAAAATAAGATCCTAGCTCCGCGCCTGCATTAAGATATATCAGCTATGATGCTGACTAAGTTGACGAAATAATTCGTATATTTATGTCGTCGAGGAAAATGACCATTTGCGCATACGCAAGTACTAGATAGTCCATAGGAAAAACAATTTAGCCTTCGGCCCCGGGTTTATAGGGTTAAATTTGTTGATATTGGACATTTAATTTTGTCTGTAATTGGTCGCTAGTTTTGTCGGTTATCGTTGGCCTCTACATCCCCCCCCCCTCCCACTGAAAAAGGTCTAGCGACGCCCCTGACAATAGGAAAAAGATAATACATGCTCAGGGGACAGCATACTCAGGAAGTCCAATCAATATTTGTCTCTGATTAGTCTAGCACCTTTTTGAAACAATGCTCAGTGCACAAAAGCTCTGGGGCCTTCCCTAAATCTCCTCCCTTTGCTTGCTCTTATATTGGCTTTTCTTTTGGTCGGAATATGTTGATTTTGGCATCGCTGGGAAGCTTATTGAATCATATGTGAATATAAAACACTTGTCATTAACGTAGGAACAAAATAGAATGCTAAATTTACGTGAACATATATTTACATACCAAAAATACAGGCAGAGAACACTAATATACCAAATAAATGTGATATTATAACAAATGTGATAAAAAAACTCTACAACTTTGCTACATAATATTTATCTTCAACATTTTCAAGTAAAAAGTTATAGCCTTCTGAAATCTGAGATACCTTCTTAACGCAGAAAAAGTTTGATTAATTTATATCTCATGATCAGGATAATGATCAGGATAATTTATGATGAGTTTTTTTTTTAATAAGGGCAAATTCAATTCGCTCAATATTTCGTCTTTCTATTTTTGTGTTTCAGATGGCCAGTCTTCCTAAGGACGAAATGTTCTCCTTCAGTGACCAGGTAATAAGAGACAAGATTGATTGTAATGATAATGATAACAATAATAATAATGATTACAACGCAATATAACGATTTTCTGTGGGTCTTAACCTATACCATATTGCACTGTTTTGTTCATGGTAGGTTTTCTACACCAAACGAACATTTTTAGGCAAAACATGTGTTCTAAAATGCATAGTAAAAGCACTAATGAGCCCCTAAGACATATACATTGGGTACTTCGGAAACTTATTTTCAAAAAATCAGTCGGCGGCACCGTTTTTAGCATTATATTTTTACTTCGGAATCAACAACTGTTGGAGCCGTCTGTGTACGTTACTAATAGGGTAAAAAGACATAAAAACTCGTTTGTTTCCATGGACATGAATTCCGTTATACGACGGAGTTGGCATTACTACGAAATAGCTATGTTTTTGTAAATATTTATGGAATGAGACAGCAGCGACATTTGGTGTCCGACTGAGAACCAATAGTGAAAGACGCAAAATGAAAGCTTTCTGTCAAATTTGGAATATATTATGACGTTTTTTAATTTTTTTTTATTACGGACGGTTCTTTTTGGAGCAGCTGAAGAGCGCGCCCATTAGTAAGACATGTTGGACCTTAAAGGGATGTCCCTTCTTGATGATTTATAACACCCGTTATCGGTGAAATGCGTCATCAACTGCCCTATAAAGGGCTACAAAAAATATAATAATAATAATAATAATAATAATAATAATAATAATAATAAAACAAAATAAAAATAATTATAATAATACCAAATGATAATAATAATAATAATGGAAAGTGCTTAGAATTATATATAGCGCATAATATTTCGGAGAATTCTGTATGCGCTTTACATTCTCTTTAAAACAATAATACATTAACATACATTGTTTCAGAACATATATTATACGTACGTGTGATATTAGGGATACGTGTATTTGACACCTTTTTCCCCTCTCCTTTCTTTTCTCTTTCTTGTTGACGCAATCGCAGTTTGATCTCAAAGCATTAGGAATGAGACTTAAGCTTGAGCACAAACTGATAGGATTTACATCAGAGAGATGGAAGTCCTTAGAAGATCTGGAGAACGTTTACAAACCCCCGCACTTCCCGAAACCAAGTGTAAGTGTTATTAATATAGAGGATTTTCTTTTTTCGGAGTTGTGCTAATATAGTACATATTTTGTTTAACATAGCCAGCATACTTCAAAGCCATGTTACATGTCAATGTCCATTTTCGAATTTGTTCAGGGGTACCTTGCGCAGCACACCCATAATTTGGAAACTTTTGCTTGGATTTGTCTCATAACAGAGGTTGCCCACAAACTAACTCCCACACAGTGTTGAGTGCAGGGGTCACGGGCCACTGGCTTCATCGGGCAGGTAGTGCAATTATGTGAATGGGTAAATTCCGTCGACAATATACAACCAATCAAAACCCTTCTCCAGCGCACCAGAGACAACATTGTGCTGGAATAATATGTTTTTTCCGAAGTACACAGTAAGCGCCACATATTTTTTTGTACTTTTTATACTTTTTTATATTTTTTGAAAGGTTACCTAAGTGACTTCCGGGCAACCAATGCTGGAAAGAAACGCACTTTTAGAATACTTCATGGAAAAATGCTTATTTTTTCTAAGCACGCAAGTCAGATTGACCGGATGATACAACGTTTCCATATGCCCTTAGCCTGTAGGTTACGCCCTGAAGATGGCCCGCGTGAAAATGGTTTCCAACTGGACTCGACTGGTTTTAGTTACTGTCATTCGCATTTTTGGGAGATTGCGTATGTACATATATATTATGTGCATGTAGGCAGTGGTGTACGCAGGATTTTTAAAGGGGGGGGGGGGTGTTCAAATCGGCTCCCAAATTTTCGCAACGATTCCGCCAGCCGCTGAATAAGCGGGGGGGGGGGGGGGGGTAAGGTCACCTTTTTTAGGTCAGCCATTGGTATAATTTTTTTCTCAAAAGGGGGGGGGGGTTTCCGAAAAAACATACAAAAAAACATACACATAAAAAAATCAAGGGGGGTTTAACCCAAAAACCACCCCCCCCCCACCCCTGCGTACGCGCCTGCATGTAGGTGGGCGTGGGGGGTTGTATGTGCGTTTGGGTTTGTGGATGTGTGTGAGGGTATATCTATCACTTGTTCAGTGCAGGATGATGGTATAAGGTCCGTGGGTAGATGAAGTTGAGAGTGGGGGTAACCATAGTAAACATGAAAACCATCGGCATGGTCTTAATAGACTATTAAGCCATTACAACTGACGAAATAGGCCACTATATTGCACCCGGGTAGAACTCCTCCCCCCCCCCCCTCCCCCTCCCCCTCAATCATGATCATAATGGTACACATTTTAGCTCAAGTGCAGTCGTACTTTCTTTGTCAGGAGCAAGTTCTGTTTATACGTGTTCAGAACTCCCCCCTTTCCATATTAGAAATCTGCCTACGCTAGAGAGACCCTGGACAATAGGCGCCGGAAGTGGGGGGGGGGGGCAGGGGGGCAAAACGCATTTTTGCCCCCCCCCCCCCCCCATCTATAAAAAAATTAAAAAAGCAGTACAGGAGTAAACATTCTTTGTATTTTTAACCCAAAAGAACATAACAATAATTAAAAAAAACCTGAATAAAATCACATATACAATTCCATTCAAAGAAAAGAAAAGTTCACATAGAGTCATAAACACTGCGCATGCCACCTATACGGTATTTATCAATGGAGGGCTTTACATTAACGATACGCGCATATCGTGGACATATTGTGCGAGAATGAGAAAGCGTGTCTGTTTTGTTGTTGTTAGGGTGAGAAGACATGAGCCCCTGAACGCTGTTGTACTGATGGGGGGGGGGGGGGGGTGGTGTATTTCTTATTCGATACCAGTGATTTACAAATGTTGCTGTTATGACATGATCTTCCGGTATTTTTTCTCTATTTTTTGGTAAATCATACCTTTTCATGCGTTTGTTGGAAAATAAGAGATTCCCAAATTACGGTCGGGCGAAAAATACGCTTATTTAAAAGCCTTTATGTCATGGTCTGCAAAGTGGCTGGGCTCGAGCCCCCTCCCCCTCACTTTCTGAAAAAGTATGTTAAAGAGAAAAAGAAAGAAAGACGGAGAGAAAGAAATAAGTGACCTGCCAATGTCACAAATAAGGTATTAAAAAATGCTCATCTGACCGTAACTAAATGCCTAAAAGCACAGAGCTTACGGGGACTCCGCCCCCGAACCCCTCCAAGAGCCCTAAGGCGTTTTCCTGGTACTCATCTGACCGTAATTAAATACCTTAAACCCCCGAGCTTTCAGGGGCTATGCCCCCTAGACCCTACCAAGGGCTCTAAGGCGGGCCCCTGGATGCTCATCTAACCGTAATTAAATACCTAAAACCCCTGAGCTTCCGGGGGCTCTGCCCCCTGGACCTACCAAGATCCCTAAGGCCGGCCCCTGGATGCTCATCTGACCGGAATTAAATACCTAAAAACCCCGAGCTTCCAGGGGTTCTGCCACCTAGACCCCACCAAGGTCTCTAAGGCGAGCCCCTGGATGCTCATATGACCGTTATTAAATACCTAAAACCCCTGAGCTTCCAGGGGCTCTGCCCCGTGGACCCCACCAAGGTCCCTTAGGCAGGCCCCTATATACTCATCTGACCGTAATTAAATACCTAAAAACCCTAAACTTCCAGGGGCTCTGCCCCCTGGACCCCACCAAGGTCCCTTAGGCGGGCCCCCTAGATGCTCATCTGACCGTAATTAAATACCTAAAACCCATGAGCTTCCGGGGGCTCAGTGCCCCCTGGACCCCACCAAGAGCCCTAAGGCGGCCCCCTGGATGCTCATCTGACCGTAATTAAATACCTAAAACCCCCGAGCTTTCGGGGGCTCTTCCCTCTGGACCCCACCAAGGGCCCTAAGGCGGCCCCCTGGATGCTCATCCAACCGTACTTAAATATTAAAACCTCTGAGTTTCTGGGGGCTCTCCCCCTCCCTGGAGCACGTCAATAGCCTTAAAGAGGGCCCCGGATGCTCATTTAACCGTAGGTAAATACCTTTAAAAAAACCTGAGCTTCCGGGGGCTCAACCCCTTGACCCCCTGCCGAGGCTCATTCCCTGGACCCCACGCCAATTCACGCTCTACGTGATCGTTAATACTACATTTTGAAAAACGTTCCACGGGACCTGCATGTAACGTGTAAGACTGGTGGTGATGCAGATTTTTTTCGTCTGCCCCCCCCCCCTTCCGAACTTTTTTTCTCATTACGTCACTGCCCCTGGAAGGTGAGCCCCTGGAATGTTTGCCCCCCCCCCAAATCCCAAACTGCTTCCGGCGCGCCTGCCCTGGACCCTGGTGTTAGTAAAATCACTACTTTCACATAAATCAAATCGATAATGTCCCTTTATTTGCCTTTTGACGTATTTGTTGATAGATATGCATAATAACACACTTTTTAATCTAATTTATTGAGTTTTTTAAAATTTGTATAAAAGGTGATGGAAAACTGGAAGTCAGATAAGGAGTTCGGTAATCAGAGACTAACAGGATGCAACCCTGCTATGATCCGACTTTGCACCAAGATACCGCCCAAGTAAGTCTGCATTTATTCTTTAGAGTCAATGTATTTAACATTTCAGTCTTTATATAAAATCTATCTTTTTTAACTGCTTTCTTCTTGTTTTTCATTTTTTTAATGAAAAACACGAATAAGCAGTGTATGCCAGTGATTTTGTCATGCACGCACTATGATATCAATCATATATTTTCGTCATTCAAATTAAAGATTTATTCAAGCTTTTCGCCAATTGTTCATTCACATAAGCATAACATGATCATGTGATCATGTATTCCTAACAAACTCTCTATTAATGGATCTGAGTATTCCGCCATATTACAGGTATCACATATCACACGCGAGTATAACCTCTTTTACCATCTTTTTTTTCTTCATTTGGGGCAAAACTTTTCTGAAAAGTTGGAGAATAATTATGTGAGTAGAGGTGTTTCCGGGTCCTTAAAACGCTGGAAACCCAGGAGCTTATGGGGGTTATGCCCCTTGACCCCCGCCATTAGCCGCTGAGCTCACCCCACTTGCATTAGGGACTTTTAGATTGAGTGGACGAGAACACGACAAGCGCCGACTGATCATGCGTGTCAACGTATTCAACTGCCCATGTTGACTACAATTAGAAATCTTAGATGATAAACATGCATGCAGGAAGTAACACTATGAACATGACAGACAAAAGAACATCCCTTCACTGCTATTATAATATGCATGTGGCACCTGTTCTACACATTTTTACATAATAGCAGGGAAGGGATTGATGTTCCTTTGTCTACCTGAGGAACTGTATATTTTATGCGCACGCGACATACTAGTACCGTACTAGATTTAGGAAAATCAAGGTTGAAGCATTCTCGATCGCCTACTGAGACGACGTGACGCATGCGCAGTGCCTTAAAATGGCGTCACACGTTGCAGTCAAAGCTGTAGACGTGCAAATCTAAAAGTCCCTATTAATAGCTGTACTAAGACCCACAACATCATGCTTCACCCCTCCCACCCTCCTTATCCTAAAATCCTGCACACGCCCATGTAATGTTAACATCAAACCAAACAAACCATTCATGCGTAGCTATTTTTGGTAAACACAATCACACACACAACACACACACACACGCGCGCGCACACGCGCATACACACACGCACACGCACACACACACACACACACAACAAAAAGATGTTTAAAACCTTCAGTTGAACTCGATGGACTTCTACAAGATAATACCATACTAATTGTAGGCAATTGAAATACGAAGAATAGAACAAATTGGAGTTTATCAGTCCTTTTCCCTCCTCTCAGTTTCGCCGTGGACGAGAAGGACGTTGAACCTCTTCTCGAAGGCCTAAATGTGTCGGAAGCCATCAAGAAGAAGCGTCTTTTCATCATCGATCTCAAGCTCCTCAAGGACTTGCCTTGTACAGATGGGCGAAAGGTATGAATTAGTCCCTTCTTGTTGTTACTGGACAGGTCTTTTCAAAATATTCGCCGATGTAATATTTGTTTATTTATTAATTTTATTGTATTTATATATTAATGTATCTATTTTTTGTTTGTATCTATATAAACAATTTTACAGAAAATATCATTCATAGATCGAATTCTTTTATTAAAAAATATTGCTATAAAATTCATTAAAAAGAAAGGTTAGCAGCAATTGACTGAATAGGCGTAATTAAGAAATCCCTTCGAGAAGTTTCGAATTCATTAAAAATGAATCAAGGAAAAAAATACGTCAAAAAAGCCTACGCCATAGAATTGAAAGTTTCCTAGACGAGAAACATTTCATATTAGTACGTACATGTATGGTACGAGAAGTGAATGCTTTATACATTTAATTCAACGATTCTTATCTCATATCAAATGAAGATTGGTTTATTCGAAGCAATGCATATTTCTGAAGACAAAGAGAGAGAGAGAGAGAATTTTTTGTCAATGATATTTGAAGCTTTACTTGCTTCCGTCAGATCCCTGCACCCATTGCGCTTTTCTTCGTCAACAAAGACAAATATTTGATGCCGGTCGCTATTCAGTTGAATCAAGACCCAGCTCCAAACAATCCGGTAAATATTGATAGTGATGATGATGATGATGATGATGATGATGATGACGATGATGACGATGATGATGATGATGATGCTGACGACGATGGTGTTGGTGGTGATGATGATGGTGATGATGAGGATGGTGGCTTTCAAGATGATGGTGATGATGATGATGATGATGGTAGTGATGGTGGTGAGGACATGGATGGCGATAATGATAATGGTGACGATCATAAAAATAGTGATGATGGTGATGTTGTCATGGTGATGGCAACTCTGTGATGTATCTTTGCGAGCTCCCAATCCAATTTGCTTTGTACTAAAAAAAAATTCAGTCATACATTATTCCTAAATATTCCGTTATCAATAACTAACAAAATGAAAGTTTATGACATTTTCTGTACAGAGCACTTTGGAGAGGAGCTCACAAAGTGTTGTCAATTTTGTTTCACTGATGACAACTTCAAAAATTCATAACTCTCCTATTTTTTAAAAATCGGATATTACTCAAACTTTCACTGGTGTAATTATCTCATATTTCCTGCTTTTATTAAACCAAGATAACATCATTGTGGACTTTCCCTTTAATGCGTCCCCCACCCCCTTTAAAAAAAAGAGGACGAATCGACGCATTTGTTCATTCCTTGAATTTTGCTTTATTGCAGGTGTTCTACCCGACTGATCCCGAGTACACGTGGCTCTTGGCCAAGTGTTACTTCAACTTGGGCGAGGCTGCCATCCATGAGTCGGGATCCCATCTTGGATTCACGCATCTTATTGGTGAAATCATCGTCATAGCAACGCATCGTTCCCTGTCTCCATCTCATCCCATCTTCCGTCTTCTTGCTCCTCACTTCTTGTACCTCCTCGCCATCAACTAGTAAGGCTCTTTTATATGTTGAGCATTGCAGTTTATTGTTAATGATATTAACAACAATATAATCATTATACTATTGATGATAATGATATTATCAATCAAATAATAATGATAAGGATAACGATAATGGGAATAATGATCACAATAATAACAATTCGTTACTATAAGTATATAACAAAAGACTACAAATAATTTTAAGAAATCAACTATGAACTCCCCAAAGCATGTTTTTACCATATGTTTTATTCAAAATCATTCATTTTATAGCAAAGGTATGACGCCTTTGCTTGCAGCGGGCGAATTCACCGACTTAAATATGACCATTGGCGCCGTCGGTATGGCAGATATCATCAAACGCACCTTCTCTACATGGCGATTCGACGTAGAGGGCTCCCTTCCGACTGACCTTCTTGTAAGGGGCGTCTCTGACCCTGAAGTGCTACCGAACTACCATTACCGTGATGACGCCTTGCTCCTACGCGAAGCAATATACGACTACGTCAAGGAAGTTGTGGACCACCATTACGGTACAGTAACCACAATCGCGAACGCTTCTTAGAAATCAAGTCAAGGGAGATTTTAATACTCTACCTCTAATAGTAATCATAAACAGATTATGTCATTGTATAGCTCGCAGATTTAAAAACAAAAAGGCCATCGAAATTGCCTTAGGTTGAGTTTTTAAAAGAATTCGTGATCGTACTCTCTTAATTCAGAGGAGAGGAAATTAGATCGTTCCATCAGGAACGATCTAACGCACCCGTTGGATGACTGATTTAATTTAAACAGATCTGGGCCCCATCTTAATAAAGAGTTGATATCAATCGCAACTTTGTACTTTAGAGACAGAAGACTGCAAACTTGCGATTGACTGGAGGACAAATTGCGATTGATTTGGATCAATTGCAACTCTATATAAGAAGGGGCCCTGGATTACATTTGTGTGTACCACGCAAGTGTCGGGCGAGATTCAGTGTTTTGATTGTGGCCAATGTTCTACTGTGAGGCGATAGTGTATGTGTGGGAGGGAGCGGGGAGCTGTGATGTGAATCAAACAATAATAGATATAAATATTTCGTTCACTCATACGCTATAGAGTACTATTCAGTTTATGGAATCAATCAATTTCCTTTTCCCGTATTTTCGTCTGACACAAATTGGATTTATAACTTTCTTAAAACCTTTTTTTTGTATTTAAAAAAAATAAAATAATAATCACATAGTGAACATTCGTCATTGCACCCGTACGTCTTTGTTTTGTTTAATTGTGTTGTGGCATGATCCTTGTTATTCTTAACCAACGGACAAATAATTTCTATATTACAGGTGAATCAATAAATGTTCTCTCTCGTCTATGACGATAAATCGTTCCCTAATGCATCCCCTATCGTTAATAAGTAAAATGCATTGGAAATCCCTGTTCTTATTCAGACTTCAACAATTGATGATAAATTAGCAGCCAATGAGCATCCCTCCGAGATTTCATCGGCTCGTTTGAATCGTTTGGCCACCCTTTATGATATCGGACGGACCTCAAAGATTAAAAGCTTTCAACGTCAACTATACTGATTTATCTAAGAGTCGATCATTTTACTCCTTAACAAAAGGAGAATGGCAAAAACAGGCAAATTGGCTTACGGCGATCACCACAGATACCCATTATCTCCTTGGTGGGAAGAGACAATTGAATGTATTGTCAAAAAGTGTTAGTGCCGCGAATGGGGACCCGAACCGTTTATCATGTGATTCACAGTCCAGTGACAAATCTACTAGACCACGGAACCTCTAAAATATCTTAATTGCCGCAGCCGAATAGTAAACTCAGTTGCAGCTGGAGATAAAATGTTCATGTACCGTATACATGTTTACGTTGGCATGATAAATAAGATATTAAAAAGTTCTGTGTGTCTTAAGATGTATTCTAACAATATAGCAGATAAAATGAGACCGTATCGCTGCATTGTTATTTTCTCATGCGTGTTTGTTTACCTCTTAGATGTTCCCGGGAAGATAGCTGCCGACCATGAATTGCAGGAATGGATCCGGTTCATGGGGACCAAGCCCAAATTTGAGGGAGAGGTCATAGGTTACATGAAGGTACTCCATACTCCTTAAGTGGCAGGGTTGAAATACCACTCTTTTGAGGATTAATATGACTTATATCACTTCATTTTTAGAGCGCCGCGTCGCATTTTTCTCTGTAGCCGCTCGAGCTCTGAGTAGCGGCTCATACAATTAAGGCTTAATAACAAACATGGGGATAGAAAATAGGATTTCACTTTAAAAGCAGCAAAAATGTACGAGACAAATTAAGTATCGGTGTTATGCTGAGTCCTTGAAAACATTGATTTGTTAAAGCAGAAGTCGGTAGCAACGTTACAATTTCAAAGTATAAATAAAAAATATCTCAAAATGTGCACGTTCAATAGCAGTTAGCTTATGAATATAATTTTGTTAGGTTCCGTATTAGAACTCATTGATATTGTTCAATGAGTATTGAGCCTAACCGTGCGCTACAACAGACGGATCTTGTTTTCAGAAATGAAAATGGGGCTATAATGACTCTCAGAAATAATATCATGAAATGGGGCAAACAAGCTTTAAAGGCATGGTATTATTTTACTGACACTACTTTAGATTTACATATACCGCCATCTGCTACTTACAATGTCCCGATGACAGCCATGCCCCACAATCACCAACTGATGATGCGCGCGCGTGGTAATTATGCTTGGGTACGGGAACCGGAAATAGCTCTATGTATGCCTTCGCTGAAAGATGGCGCAATTGAAGAAAAAAAATTAAGAAGTGGTAGCGTTGTAGGCAAAATGCCAGTTTAAGCTACGGTCACAAAGCTCCCTGTTTTTAATTTAATTAATAATAATAATAATAGTCCACTCCAAATTTTATTAAACCGAAACGGAAATTCTTTTTGCCCAATTGATCGTGAGCCCGGCAGCCACTGAGCAGCGCCAGATTATTTATTATTGTTGAACGCCAAACAAGGTAGCAACAACTCCCATCTTTTAACGTCTTTTGGTATGACGCGGCCGGGGTTCGAACCCACGACCTTCCGGTTGTGAATTGTCTTTCCGAATTTCCATTGTCTGAAAATCGTTCGTACGGCGTTCGTAGCAGTTCGTAATAGTATTTGTGATCTAGGCTTTATAACATTGCTCATTTAAAATAGATTAGAGACGATATTTCATGAATATTATTGTAAGAAACACGATCCCAACTATTATCAAAAATCAACTCAATGGCCATTTCAATACCCTATTGTACATCCAGATGAAATCATGTTCGGGTTACGTAATACTTAATAGTCATTTCGATAGGTGATACACAAGGCAATTAATTAATATTGCCTTAATATGTTGATTTTTCGAAAGTGTTGATACGGGTAGCCCAAATATTACTAGCTAAGGTTTGATTTGAAACATGCGAATGAGATTCAGAGTTTTTTTAAAAGATTTTTTAGACCTGTATTTGACAAATAAAAAATACTAAAAAATGAAATAAAAACGCTTATGGGAATTATGCCTAATGTCTTGTTTATACTAGTAGAAACGTTTTTATCTATGGACCTATCGCATACCTTTGTCCATTGATTGATCAATACATTCGCTGATACCAATTTTTCTCTTTCTCTCTCTCTCTCTCTCTCTCTCCTAGGGACTTCCTAATGATGGCCATTTTAAAACCGCAGAAGAGATCACCACCGTTGTTACGGATTGTATCTTCATCTTTAGCGCTGCTCATGCTGCAGCGAACTTCGGCCAGTATAATAACTATGGTTTTCCCCCGGCCTACCCTCTCTGGATGAATGGATCCCCACCGCAAGATAAGGTAAGATCGAGATGGGACAACGATCGAGTGCGCATATCAAGTCCATTGGGAAATTTATCTCCCAAGATAACAATAATATACACTTTGAAATGATAAATGCGGCTAATTTGCGGCTATAAAACGCGACGCGAAGTTATTTTTGTATTGTTTAACCATATTGCTCCGGTTGTCTCATTTTCGCTCGCTAGACGTATATAGCAGACGGCAATCGGCGGATAAGACGACACTTGGTAGTGGATTTGTATGTGAGATTGCTTTGCTAAATATAAAATACAAGAACATTTTCCATATCTTTAAACTATCATTGATATCTGATAATTACACAGTTATTAAAATAAACCTACCAAACTACATAATACAATGAAATACCTGACTTAAAGTAGGGGAGTTTGGTGTGGTGCACAATTGCATCCCTCTCTAAATAATCAAATAGCCCATGGCGATCATGAATATTCATGTTTTCGCTTACCTCGGCAAAATGCTTGCCTATACTAAATGGAAAAAATGGATCAAATTGCGTCCAAAGTTCGACTTGTTTCACATGTTTTATATAGGCAATGGCGAGCTAGCGAGCTATTTTGACCAAATTACGGTGTTTGAACTTTCAAAAGTCAATGGGACATGAGGGTTTCCATGAAAGAGCTAGTGTCCGTCGGGATGGATGTGCTTTTCGTTTTAATAAACAAAAAAAAATTGGTAAAAGTCATCAGTAGGCTAACATGTTAGGCTGCTGGACTCTGACGATAGGGGGCGTTATCCAATGAGACTATCAAAGAGATTCGATCATACACGTATGTCCTCCGTAGACTATTCGGAGCCATAAGCAAAATCCATACATTGGGGACTTTACTCTCTCGCCAACATAGCGATGTTGTGCTCTCATAAAATATATGACCAGAAATTTGTTGCGACAATCTCTTACTAATAAGTATATAGTAGCGAAATTTGACTAGCGAGATTATTGTTTCCCCATAGATTGGCCATTGGCGGATGCAATCCTTTAAATTTACCCCATAAATAAGCAACTATGAAACTTAAATTACGTAACTTGACCTTCAGCCAATCAGACTCACGCATTTTAGACTTGTGTTTTATTACATGTGTATATTTCATTTTGGTGTGGGTCCCAAACTAAACAGTATGGCACTTGGATTTCCATTATTATTATGATTATCATTATCATTATTACTACTTTTATTATGATGATGATGATTATTTTAATGATAATGTTTGTTATTATTATTATTATTGTTATCATTATCATTGTTATTTTAATTATTATTACAATTTTGTATTGTTATTGATTATTATGATTATTTCTTTAAGTATTATCAATATTTTATCATTATGATTATTATTGTTATTATCGTTAATGATTATCATTGTATGTTATCATAATCAAAATACATTATTATTGTTATTAAAGTCATCATTGCTGTTGATGTTGTTATTATTTTTATTGTTACACAACCACTTTTGAATATTAATATTTTCTTTATTTCTCAAGACTCCTCTCACGGAGGCCGACATCATTGAGCAGCTGCCCAACAAGGAACAGACCCTAGACATCATGGCATTCATGAAGCTACTCAGCACTCGAGGCAGCAAGCCTCTGGGAGACTTTGAGGTGCAGTACATGCATGGTGCTACCTATCAAAAGGCCTTAAAGAAGTAAGTTTCAGAGCTTTCTGCAATTTAAAGGCCCACTGCACTACTTGTAGCTTCTTGCGCCCTCTATATAACAAACAATGCCTAATCGGTGACCATTGGTCCCCCATGATCCTCTTTTTCTTATGTTAACTGAGAGCTGAGTTGATGAGATAGCCACATGTCTAGTAACCTTGCAGGGCGCTCTAATCCCTCCTGTAAACTATGGCAGATAAGCTTTAAGATTTGGTGAAAGACGAGATGTGCAGAATCTTCTACCATTGCACTCATGATCATTCACTATTTGTGTAATATTCGGCGGCGAGGTGCCGGCATACAGTACGTTCAATCGTTTCTAGTTCTAATTTGTTATCATTTTGAAAATGTCTCCTCCTTTGTTATTCCTGCTTGTTCACTAAATTAAGGGGGATAATTGTCCTCGGGGGTTATTGTTCTCGGGGGGGGGGGGGGTAATTCTCCGGGGGGGGGGGGGGGGTAACTGTCCGGGGGTAACTTTCCGGCGGATGATTGCCCAGGGGGTAATTGTCCTAGAACCGTCACAGAGCTGCTAATTCCTGTTTTTATTGATCGCAACTACAAAAATGTAAAGCTTTTCTATTTTTAAACAGATTTGGCTAAAGACTTTTGCTGATCGGCTACTTACATTGTTCTGATCTAATAAAAAACAAATTACTTATCATCAGGGTTGCCTTCACATTGAGCCAATAGAGTAAAAATATGTATCCATTAATGTATATTCTATTTCCCCCACCCCTTTCCCCTCTCCCTCTCCATCTCTCTCTCTATCTCCCTCTCTCTCTCTCTCTCTCTCTCATTCTCTCTCCTAGATTCCGAGCTGAACTCAAACGCATTGGAGACATAATCGACAAACGGAATGAGACAAGAGAAGAGAAGTATCTTTGGCTTCATCCACGCGAAGTGCCCAACTCTATCACAATCTAGCTCCTAAATGTCAAGAGAGGAAATACATCAAATGGCTATTGACTTCGAGTAAAAATAGAATAAAGTTCGTTGTGGATGACCATGTTGTTAGTCGATCTTTTAATGGTTATGGATTAATCTTTTGAAGATACACATGTACACAGAATAGAGACTTCGTGAAAAACAAGTGTGCGATGTTCTGCTTGCGTAAATGTTAGATAAGGTCTATACAATATATATATATATATATGTTAAGAAAATTCTAACTTTTGAACATTTTGTTTTTCAAGTCATAACCTTTAATTTAAAAAAACGTTGTGTTCCTTGATTCTACATGTATTTACATCGTTTTTTGATATTCTGTGTCATGGTCATGTTTTTATATCTAGTATGTATGCTAAGACATTTTTTTTACCACGGGGATTTGCATGTACTGTATGTACTCATTCTTTATATTCTGTGTCATGGTCATGTTTTTATATCTAGTAATTAAGAATGTTTGTTTCCACGAGGTTTTTATGTTTGTACTCATTCTTATATATTCTGTGTCAGGGTCATGTTTTTATATCTAGTACGCTAAGAGTTTGTGTTTCCACGAGGTTTTCCTGTATGCACTCATTTTTTAGCAAGGCCATGGATAATAGAATAACATCTTTTGAAATGTGGATTTACAGAAAAATGATGAAAATATCCTGGAAATGAATGAAAACCAACAATGAGATTTTGCACATGCCAGGGTGTAAACAAAATGCACTAGTAGGATTAGTTAAGGAAAAATAAATCAATACTTTGGTCATGTTAAAAGGCACCAAAGCCTCGTAAAGGAAGTTTTTTGGAAGGAAGAGTGGAAGGAAGTAGACTGAGAGGAAGACCCAGAATCAACTGGGAAGAGAATGTCAAGAACTGGAGTGGACTAAAACTGCAAGAGTGCACCAGAATGGCAGAAGATAGGGTGAAATGGAGAGATGTTGCAATCAACCTCCGAACCGGGAGAAGATACTTAGATAGATAGACTCATTCTTAATATTCTGTGTCACGATCTTGTTTTTATATCTGGTATGCTAACAAAATTATTTCCACGGGGATTTGCATGTATGTACTCATTCTTTTATATTCTGTATCATGATCATGTTTTTATATTTAGTATGCTAAGAAATTTTGTTTCCACGGGGAATTTATGTTAATCATGTACTACTTGTGGTTTCTGGAATGGTTTTTGTTATGCCAGTTTGCATGTTATATCATTCTAGTTGAGGTTGGATCAATTCAACTATTTTCTCTATACGACTCGACATGTACAATGTTATTTGTATGTTTTTGTTTAAAGGGACGTGTAGGATTTATAGTAAAAGTAGCGTTTATTTTAGATGGGTGTCTGTATGATATCTTTAATCATTTAAATACACATTATTGCTCAGCTGTCCTTTTTCTGCAATGTGTATGTTTTTAATTGGTGTATTTTCATTCACAAAATATGGTGTGATATGTTGATCATGCATATTCCCTTGTGTTTGCGTACATTTGTTATCTCCTTGCTTTTAATGTGTTCACCTTTCTGCATTAATCATGTTACATACATGTAATTTTAACTACAAGACTTTTATGCACTACTCGTGTAAAACTCTGTAAAACAGCATTGTTATGCTAACAACGCTGAGTAGGGCCATCCCTCCGTTTTCCTTTTTAAGAAGTGTGTCTTTATGATTGTAAATTTATATTGATGTGTTTTTTTTAAATTCACGTAAATAAATACAATACAATAGTTTAAATACAGGACAGTATATAAATATATATAGGGCCCAGGAGTTCCCTGTGCAAAAATTTAAACTCTTGAAAGGAATCAAAACAAGCTGTCCGTTCAACAGAGAACTGAAGAAAAGAAGAGATTAGAAGTATAAAGTTGAACAAAGTTTATTAACTGAAATACAATAACAGCTGTTGCCATCGGCATTCAAATGCAAGTATAGGTTAAATATGGTTGATGCAAAGATAATGAATCATTGGCGAAATTACAGCAACATGTACCCATGTACCAATATCTGAGCTCAGTATAACATTGTCATAACAGGTTGAGTACTCAATTAAATGCTGCAAATTATAGCAGAGTAAAAATTACCGATCAAGTATTGCCGGTTTTAATGGTTTACTGTTCATTCATTCCGAAGAAATTAATGTGTCGTATAAATACAAAAACCTGTTGCGTTGGGATCCAGCGGATGCGTCACGCGATTTGCAGATGTGGCGACTGGTCAATTGACAATGAAAAAGATATATTCACATGAACATGTATAAATGATGATAGTCGACTTTAACAATCATTTAAATAATTAGAAAACAAGCTGCTGCATGCATTTTTCGAAACTTTTCACATGGTGGGCCGTGAATACAGGTATTCCTCTTGCGTACAACAAATTATTTGAAAGTTCAAAAGTACAGAGAGATAATTCTATTACTAGTCATGGCTCTTTAGTAATAGGAGTAAGTTTTTTGATTTTTTTTTTCATCCATTATCTCATAAAAGATAGGCCTACGTCAACACCTCTTCTTTATTGTTGATTTTTGCCCCGGCCACTGCTCTTTAAACGCTCAGTAGGGCCATTGCGCATTTACGAGCAGTGAATATGCTCGTAAATGCGCAATGGCCTTACTGAGCATTTACAGAGCAGTGAATCTCGAACGACCGCACCGAAAAGGGGGAAAGTCCAGTGGCGGATTCAGGGTGGAGGGCGGGGGTCCGCCCCCCTGGGAAAACAAACTTGTTTTAAACACGTCTTTTTTTTGGGGGGGGGAATGGGCGTCAAGGGGGGGGAGGGGTGCAAATTTTCAAATTTTCGAGGGCCCCCCCCCAAAAAAAAAATTGCTTACTTCCCCCCCCCCCTTCACCTCCCTCCCTCCCTCCCTAAATATTCGCCCCCGTCAGGTTGTTCACGGGGGCGATTGCAAAATTAAAAATCGCCCCCGTGGAATTATAAAATAAAGATTATCTTTTCTGTTAGGACTTTAACACAATATTGAGTTTCAATTTACAAACCTTAAACCAATGAAATGGAACTTAGATTAGCGTGCAAGATTTCTCGTTCTATGAGTAGGCCTACCGATTCAGCTCGCAGTGCAGTGCCGCCGTCAGTAGTGGTTATAGGCCTACTGCGCCGTTAGTAAGGGTACGTGTGCACGCTGCCGCGCCATGTCTGCTGGAGCTATGAAGGCGATCGCGCAAGGGCAGAAACATGGTCATGGAGAAGTTTTTCGTTGTGAAAGCGTAAACCCGCTGAAATCTGGTGATTTCAAATGACCAGCAAATAATGAACCTTAGATTTGCACGATGAGAACGTGGACTGCAACGTGTGACCTCCTTTTAAGGCACTGCCAGTGCTTAAAAGGACGTCACATGTGACTGCCAGTGCCTTAAAAGAACGTAACACGTCCACGTCCACGCAAATCTAAAAGTCCCTATTGAGAAGAAGAGGAAGACCAAAATGTCGTGGAATGATATGGTAACAATGGTAGATCTACGGGGGGGGGGGGGGTTAGGGGGTTTAACCCCCTCCTCGATCCCCCGGCCCCCTTGGGCTGCCAAGTGAAAATGTGATGTGCATATAAAAACGCCATTATGTGTCCAGATCGACCCACACAGTAAGATGTTAGTAGATGCCAGGAAAACAATACGGGGGTTCAAAATAGCAACAACAACAAAATAGCCTCGACGCTATGCGGCTCGTGGACGATGCTTCGCATGTAAGTAGATGCCAGGAAAACATCACTTACGGAGGTCCAAAATCAGGGGCGGATCCAGCCGGCGGCAAGAGGGGGGGGGGGGGGCAAATCTTGAGAAAATATTTAGCGACGAATCAGCCAGCCGGCGATCGGCGAATGAGCGGAGGGGGGGGGGGCTGGATAAATGCACATATATTTGTTTTGGGGGGTCCAGTTTTGGGGGAACATTTTTGCGCCGACTCAGCGTGAATATTAAAGCGGGAGGGGGGATGCTGGAGAGGAGGACCACTAATTTATTTTATTTTGTTCAGGTGGGGGGGGGGGGAGGTGAAGCGTCGTTTTAGCATGACTTTCTTTTTAACTCTTACTTTCACCTATCTCAGATAACCCTAAGTTTTTGGTTGCTGCTTTATAATTATTGTAGTTGACAATGCATGATTAAAATAAAGAGAGAGAGAGAGAGAGAACCACCATCATTTTGCAATGGTTCAGGGTTTGTGTAATGTACTTTTAAAACCATTTCTTAGCGTCTCAACCCTAATAAAAAAGCGAAACTATTTTTGAGGAAAAGCATTATACTGAAATGAATAAAGAATAATAGCTTTATATTAGGGACTTTTAAATTGAGTGGACGAGAACACGACGAACGCCGACTGATCATGCATGTCAACGTACTCAACTGCCCATGTTGACTACAATTAGAATTCTCTTAGATTGCACTCGACGAAATACATGCATGCAGGAAGTAACACTATGAATATGACAGACAAAAATATACAGTTCTCATTCTACCCTCAACAATAGGCCATTTTCGTAATGTAACCAAATTTAATGCATAGGTCTTTGTGAAGTGCCTCAATACAAATTATTTCATTCACCTGATAGGAATAATAGTATTTCAATAGTCAGAATGCAACTGCATATATTAAGTATTGCTAGGTAGGTCAAGCCATAATGTTTGTCCAACCTGGCAACAACTAATGTATGCAGTTAGGATTCTGTCTATTGAAATACTATTATTCTTTTCAGGTGAATGAAATAGTTTGTATTGAGGCACTTCACAAAGACCTATGCATTAAATTTGGTTACATTACGAAAATGGCCTATTGCTGTGGTAGAACATCCCTTCACTGCTATATGTAAAAATGTGTAGAACAGGTGAATGTGCATGTGACACCTGTTCTACACATTTTAACATAATAGCAGGAAAGGATGTTCCTTTGCCTACCTGAGGAACTATATATTTTATGCGCACGCGGCATAAACCAGTAGAGAGAGAGCTACGTGGACACACCACACACCACAGTTTTTTCCCCCGAGTTATTCCCATATGGAACAGACTCCCAGCAGTAGCTGTAACATCTAGCTCGATTGCTGGTTTTCAGACCTCCGCAGTCCCGTCCATCATAGCCATGATGGGCATGCCCACCAGGGCCCTGTAGGGAGGGAAGCCATGAAGCCGACATTAATGTTCTCACCAGATGCACCCTACTTCTTCGTACTCTCCAGTTTACATGTCTTCTTCTGCACAATGTCTGGCTTCTTTTACTTGCACGCATCACGCACTCACACACTACCACTATTACTCCACCCTGGACAGCTGTCAACGTAGCTTTTTGGGTGCAACAAATTCAAGATTCAAGATTCAAGTACCGTACTAGATTTAGGAAAATCAAGGTTGACGCCCTCTCGATCGCCGACTGAGACGACGTGACGCATGCGCAGTGCCTTAAAATGACGTCACACGTTGCAGTCAAAGCTGTCAACGTGCAAATCTAAAAGTCCCTATTGGCTCATACTAATACTGATACGGGCTAAAGACAATGTGGTATTTGTATAGAGGTATTCCAAAATGACGTTCTGATAATCAACATTTTGTTCTGGTATCATATGTACATACGCATAATACAACTGATCTTTATGATTTCTTAACGTGACATAGCTTTTCCTTCCCCTGCAATCAAAAAGGAAAACAAGCTTATTTAATAAAAGGATCATGCGACAAATAATCATTGTGATTCAAATTGATGCAAGGATTTTTTTTTTAATAAGCAATTAATGCTTTTCACCAGAATCTTCTTTGTAAAAACGACTTTTACAAATCTCAGCCATGCAATTCTGCCACTGTGTTGTAAGCACTATGAATATGACAGACAAAGAGAGCGGACAAAATATACAGTTCCTCAGGTAGACAAAGGAACATCCCTTCACTGCTATTATGTTAAAATGTGTAAAACAGGTGTCACATGCATATTCACCTGTTCTACACAGTTTTACATAATAGCAGTGAAGGGATGTTCCTTTGTCTACCTGAGGAACTGTATATTTTGTCCGCTTTCTTTGTCCGTCACGTTCATAGTGAAGATCACTATGTCTTTCAGATTAGGAGATGTGTATTCTTTAATGAGTATTTTACATTGAATGGAACGTCTCAACTCAGTAAGCATGGCTGAGATTTGTTTTTACAAAGAAGATTCGGGTGAATAGCAGTGCTTATTCAAACAAATATTCGCATCAATTTGAATCACAATCATTATTTGTCGCTTAATCCCTTTTAATGACCTTGTTTTCTTTCTCGTTTGCAAGGGGAGAAGAAGACATGTCACGTTAAAGACATCATAAAGATCAGTGTTGTATGCGTATATATTATATACACAGGCCCCGCGGAACGTTTATCAAAGTGGTGGGGGGGGGGGCTAAAGTATTTACGATCAGGTAGAGGGTAACGAGCGTAAATTGGTGTGTGGGGGGGGGGGGGTTCAGGGGTTTTAGGCATTCAATTACGGTCAGAGAAGCACAAATATTTTGATGACGCATTTGTGTCACTGGCAGGTCAGGGGGGGGGGGGCGTTTTTTTTTTTTTTTTAAGGTAAAATTTACGTTACTATCCTATTTTTTTACCGGTTTGGGAGGCTAGGGGGGGGGGGGGCGATAGAATCGGCCCGTGGATCCGCGCCTGTTCAAAATAGCACACACACAAAATCGCCTCGACGCTACGCGGCTCAGTAAAGAAAGAATGTAAAGGTTGCTCCCAATAATGAGGAGGAAAAAATCTGCAGAACGGGAAGAAACGAAAGAATGTCATCACGGGATGAAAGTCAGTAACAGCTATGTAGCTTGTAAATTTGTAAGACGGAAAATGCTGATTAAAATGATAATGATGACATAGCAAATAATTGAGGAGTATCATAGGTACCAATTCAATGGATATTTGTATAAAAAAGAGCCCCCGTGGATAAAAAATTAATTTGAGCCCTGTTCATCACCCAATTCATCAATTTCACACTGGGGTGATCGCCCAGGGAATAATTGTCCTTGAACCCTTTCTGATGCAGTTGAATGAAGGATACTTCATATAAAATATTGTCATTTGATCGACACGCTATAAAAAGGATCTTAGAACTGCTGACCACAATTTCTACACCCCAATGCCCCGGATTTAGGGATCCTCAATCTTAACGAGGCACTATTGAAGAAAAAAACAAGAGGCCCCAAGGTGGAGGGGGCGCGTGCTTTTTATTCGAAATTTTCAAAACTTTGTGAAGTGTGACATGTATAAAGAGCCATGGGCGTAAATCCTTACGTAATACCTATTGTTCAGGGGGGGGGGAATGATCTTCATTCACCCCCCTGAACAATAGGTATTACGTAAGGATTTACGCCCATGTAAAGAGCAGAGCACTAGGTTATACATGACATAATCGCTATCAAGTTCAGCTAGCAAAACCAACCTCCGTGCATTTCGTAGATCGGAAAGTTTTTTCAACAGGTTAAGAATTTCTTATTTTATGAGAGGTCTGGGTGTTCGATTGTATATTTTGAATATCATCTTCATGTGTCTTTCCTTCGTCGGCTTACCTTCGTATTCTAGCTAGCATGGGGAACAAATCTTCGAAGAGGAATTTTACCGTGTACGTGAAAACGGGTGACCGTCTGGGCATGGGCACCGACGATACAATCTCGGTCGTCCTTCAAGATGAAAACGGGCTCAGGTCCGGCAAGTGCCAGCTCGACAACCTCCTGAGCAACGACTTCGAGTCCGGCCGGCTAGATAGCTTCCAGATTGCGATTGAGGATGGGAATTTTGGAGACCCTGTCTACATGGAGCTCCGGCGGGACAAGTGCGGTTTACTCGATGACGAGTGGTACTGTGAATTCGTCAGGGTGCTGAGCGAGAAGACCAATCACGTCCACATGTTCCCGATTCATAGATGGGTTCGTGCTGGATGCCCGATTAAGGTGAAGGAGGACGACGCGGTGCTCCCTCAGGACGACGAAAACGTGATCCAACGACAGGAAGAGCTCCAAAGGAAGCGAGACATGTATGTTCCCGCTTTCAACGAGGCAACGGGAACGATCTTGGTAAGCGTTTTCCCTTTTCCTTTCAAGTTATATTCTTGTATGGGGAGTAGGGAGGGGGGGAGTCGAAAAATCTCCGGAAGACAAATGAGGGGGGAGGGTGAAATCACAACCACGGCCACAACAAATCCTTGCACCCCCTCGTCTTCTTTTGAAACCAAAATGGTAAACACGAATCTACACTAAAGTCAGGTCCCGGCCCGGGAACGATTTTTTTTCACCGGGGTGCTGAGATATATATATATATATATTCTTCTTCTTCCCAGAGTAGGAAGCATTTGCAATTTTAGAACCACATTAGGCGTATTTTCAGGCACTTCCTGGAGTAACATGACGTAAATTTGCTTTCTTCTACCCCCTCCAAGAGTAGGGATCTTTTGCAATTTGAGAACCACATTTGGCGTATTAATGTCCACCGGCACTTCCTGGAAAAAAAACGAGGCCTTCTGATCGGTTAGAAGTTAGAGAAAAGTAATCTGTCACTTCGCGAGACGTATTTGCTCCGTTGCTGCACAATGCACAAAGATGGTGGTTTGGCCTGATACATCACCTGGGCTGGCAGACAAAACAATCCGCATCACCCCACTCTTACATGCAGGCCCCGCTGAACGTTTTTCAAAGTGGGTGGGGGGAGGCTAAAGTATTTACGATCAGGTAGAGCGTAGTGTAAATTGGCGTGGGGTCTTGAGGGCTGAACCCCTTGAAACTCAGGGATGTGAGGCATTATATAACGGTCATTGAGCATTCAGGGGCCCGCGTTAGTCCCCCTAGTGGGGTCGAGGGGGCGGATACCCCGGAAGATGAGCATATTTTGATACCTTATTTGTGACACTGGCAGGACACTAATTGACGTGAGGGTCCAGGGCCAAGCCCCCAGAAGCTCAGGGCTTTTGGGGGCATTTTATAACGGTCAGATGAGCATATTTTAATTCCTTATTCATGATACTGGCAGGTCACTAATTGGTGTGGGGTCCAGGGGGCTGAACCCCCTGAAACTCAGGGATTTGAGGCATTTTATAACGGTCATTGAGCATTCAGGGGCCCGTTTTAGGCCCCCTGGTTAGGTCGAGGGGGCGGAGCCCCCGGAAGCTCAGGGTTTTTTGGCATTGAATTACGATCAGATGAGCATATTTTTATACCCTATTTGTGACACTGGCAGGTCCTTAATTGGAGCGGGGTCCAGGGGGCGGAGCCCCGGAAGCTCAGGGGTTTTAGGCAATAAATTACTGTCAGATGAATATCCAGGGGCCTGACTTAGGGCCATTGGTTAGGTCCAAGGGCAGAGCCCCCTGGGAGCTCAGGGGTTTTAGGCGTTTTATTACGGTCAGATGAGCAATTTTGTTTGATACCTTATTTTTGACACTGGCAGGACACAATTGGCGTGGGGTCCAGTTGCGGAGCCCCAAGAAGTTCGGGGTTTTTAGGCATTAAATTAGTTAAGCATCCAGGGGCCCGCCGTAGGGCCCTAGGTGGAATTCAGGGGACAGAGCCCCCGGAAGCTCAGGGGATTTAGGCATTTAATCACGGTCTAATGAGCATATTTTGATACCTCATTATTTTGTGACACTGGCAGGTCACTATTCTTTCTTTCTTTCTCTCTTTCTTTCTATTTCTCTTTAGTATACTTTTTCCAAAAAAGTGGGAGCGGAGCTCGAGCCCCGTCGTTCTGCGGGCCCTGCCATGTAGGCCTCTAAATAAGCATATTTCCTGCCTGACTGTAAATTTACTTTGTAATTTTCCAACAAACGCATAAAATTTACTAAAAAGTGAGGAAAAATCTCGGAAAATTATGTCATTTCAGCAACATTTGTAAATCACCGGTATCGAATTAGAAATGAACCACGTTTGAATTTAATTGTGACAAAGGCAGGTCACCTTCTTTATTCAGGAATTTGCCATTTCCCAACAAACGCATACAAAAATGTATAATTTACTTAAGATTGAGGAAAGATCTCGGAAAATTATGTCATTTCAACAACATTTGTAAATCACCGGTATCGAATTAGAAATAAACCACATTTGAATTTTATTTGGGGGGCATCTATCCCCCAAGCCCCCTCCCTCCCCCATCAGTACGCCATTGCCCCCCCCCCCCCCCCCGATCTATATCTTGTGTGCGGGAAAAATCGCAACTAAACTCCCCTACCTATCTTCTTTCTCTCTTTCTTTCCTTACCTTTCCCTCCCCCTTCCCCTACCCTTCCCTTCCCTTCCTTCTCTCTCTTTTAGGTTTGCTAGGGGGTGAGGCAAGGGTCTTTCGCCCCCCCCCCGATCGACATGTTGTTGGCGGGATTAATCGCAACTGATCTCCCCTTCTTTTCACCCTTTTCTTTTCTTCTTCCTCTTTTTTGTTCCCTTTTAGCTCTCCTCTTTCCCTTTTCATTCTTTCTCTCTTTTTTTTTGGCGGGGGCGGGGGGAGGAGGGGGAGAGGGGCAAGGGCATTTTGCCCCCCCCCCCGATCCACAAAGTGAAGAGTCTAGACTGGATCGGAGAGCTCGCTAGTGCTAGTGTGAATTTACACCGAGGACAAAGTTTGCTTAACTTTTTCTTGGAACACTTGAATGGTTATGGAACCTGTTTGTGTTTATAATCTTCAAATATTAATGTTATTCTGCATCAAATATAAAATATTGATTTCTACTGTGGTATGTAAAGGCATGAACAAATATACTTTTTTTTTAAACCAAAAAGGTGCATCATGGTAATAAATTTTAACAAACACATCAACACTTTACCTAGACATCTCATCACCATAGCCATTGTATTGAAAACCATATATTAATGATAAATGTAAAATGAGGAATTAAGCAATTCTCGTCAATTGGCTGTATCCTGAGAGTGATTTATATAATGGATTTTTGGTAATATTTGCATCTACCTGTACTTGTAGAATAGATACAGTGCATAAACTGGAATATATGGAGATGGGGGGGGGGGCAATATTAAAGCAAGAGAGATTGGGAGATGAGGAAAGCAAAAAGTGATTGAAATCGAGAGATGACTCGCGAGATAGCCTTTATATAATGTTGTCTTGAGAGGAAGCTAGTAGACGAAGTATTTTTTTTTTTAATTGGAGATTAGTGTAAGTATTAGAAAAATCGGAAATAGCATTGATGAGAAAGTTATATATTTGTTTTTATCGAGATCAATACATGTAATTAGATGGGGAATCTCCAACTGGCATTTATGTGCGATGTCACACGTACTCGTAACGCATGTCACACACTCCAAGGATAATTCCCATTTGATTTGTGCACACAATAACTCGAAGTGTCGATTTTTCTGGATTTTTAAAATAATGGAACAGATATTTATTCACAGGGGGTCATATTAACAACTAAAAGTACATCGCCCATAACAAATTACGAACACATGCCATATGTAATGTCACTTATGATGACATAGCCATATTGATATGGCTTTGCCATCATAAGTGAGAAAATTGTATTCTTTTATGGAAATGGGAAAAAGAGAGAACGATGGAAGGAAAACATGAGAAGAGAAAGACATAATAATTTAAAAAGAGAAGAATATAGAGGATGGAGGGAAAATAGAGAGACAGAGAGAGAGGGAGACAGAGAGAAAAAAAAAGGAAGAACATGAAACTTAAATTTACACTTACAGATCACATTTCCGATGAGTTGGCTCGACATATGTGCCTAAAAAGTCTGCGGACGAAAGTACAACAATACGAAAACAGAAGTTCTATAAAATTGTCTTTAAGAGAGAAGGAGAGGTTATTTCTAAAATGAAATGAAAGGGGCTTTGTGACTTTCAAGGAGGAACCCACAATTTATATCGCTTGTGACGACTAATTTGAATTTCCTTTTTTTTTTAATTCAAGAACTTCCTGGGGCTCCTCCCCAAGACTGCCGGCAAAGACAAAATTGGAGAGAGAGTGAGTTTTATGTAGTTAAAGCTTCTAACAACCACTCCTTTGGACCTTTTATTATTTACACAATTTCTTGCTGTCTGCTGCCTTGAGATCACTGGAGCGAAGAAAGGTAACAATGTATAGCAATAATCCCTATCCTTTTTATGCAGATGATTCTTCTACCATTCTTGACCAGAAGTGCGTTTCAAACTCAATGATGTGGGCGTCATTCTAATGAATGTTTATTTATTTATTTATTTATTTATTAGTCTTTTTTTAGTAGGGTGGCTCCATCAGTAGTTCAATACTGTTTTCCGTGGAGGCCCTACAACATAAATACAAAATTAACAAACATATTGAAAACAAACGATCCAAATCGAAACAAAATGAATTAAGTTACAACATTTTCGAACAAAAGAAAAGAAACGAACACAACGGACCAGTTCAATGATTTCAATTATTATAGCGCCAAAACAAAAGAGTAAATGAAGAATTTGATGGCGCATTTAAAAAAAAAAAAATTATGTTGTGTCCAGTATTAAGGGCGTTTTCTGCTACTTAATTGCTGCCTAATCTGAAGGCTTTTTTGTGCTCTTTAAAAAGAACACACAATAGGGGCAGCGTAATTTAAATAGCAAGGGATGGATAAGAGTTTATCTCTAAAAAGAAATGAAAGGGCTATTTGACTTTCAAGAGCGATAAAAACTATATAATCCATCCCTTGAAGTTTAAATTGCACTGCCCCCATTGTGTGCTCTTTTCAAAGAGCACAAAAAGCCCTCAGATTGAACATTCCATCTCATAAAATTGTCTTTAAGAGGTAAAGAGAGGTTATTTGTAAAAGGAAATGAAAGGGCCATTTGACTTTCAAGAGCCCTTTCATTTCATTTTAGAAATAACCTCTTTTTCTCTAAAAAAAAAATTTCTCTCTTGAAAGTCAAATAAACTCGAGAACATCCTGGGATTCTGCTCTGCCAGGCCCCTCAGTGGATCTGCCATGTTGTAGGGATCCATTAGAAAGCAAAATAAGCCCACTCAATAATTAATATTTATATTCAAACGTCATAGCGATTCATCCAAATAAAAAAGAGTAGGGAGATAGAGAGAGATCGAGAGAGAGATGAAAGAGT